GCTTTGTAGGGTCTGCAGGAGCCTGCTCTAGAGCTCAAGGGCCTTAGAATTCTTCACTCGCGCCGATTGTGTGGCGTTGACGCTTCTGACGCATGTGATCCGATCTGCAGGCCCTGACTGTCGGATGCACCCGCTCATTTGCTCGACTGAGGGTCTCATGGTAACTCAACCTCAGGCCTTGAAGCTAAGAAAAGTAGAAGGTTTTCTTTCTCCACGCACAGGCTGGCCCCCCTGGCGCCTACGTCCCTGGTCAGGCAGCACGCCTTTTAGCAGATTCTGCCATGCACGTGGAACTTTCAACTGAGGCGGATGCCTACATTCTGAATCTTCTACTGCACAACAAATCTTCAGACGTACGCTCGACGGCACATGTTAGGGTTCGGAGCTGAGGGTCTAGGATTGTGTTGCTTTCACCCCTCCTTCGTGTTCCCTGAGCCGTCCTTCCATGAGCTGTCTGAGCCTGGCATAATGATGAATGCCAAAAGCAGCAAAGAATTCTGGCAGGTCCGGCCAGCACCGATGCCGGTGAAGATGGTGCAGGCTTCCTCCCAATCACAAACTCGTCCTGCATTCGATTGTAGGAACGTGTCAAGTTGCGCTCCACTTGGTGATGGCATCAGCTGGATCAGGAGTTTGACTGGATGATTCAAGCTCGCTTCAATCTACACGAAGAATTCAGATCAACACGGGCGATGATGCACGCATGACTACCACGGAAACTTCGGAACCTTTGCCTGTGGATCCGAGAAGTATGTGTATTTAGCCACTGCACTAGAAGAAGGCCGGGCGATTCCTTCTTTAAACCCACGAGCAGAACAAATCCCGGACGGAATTGTGCCGGAGAGTTCGCGTCATGGCATCCAAACCGTGGGCACCAAAAATCAGCTGATTAGCTGCCCTCGCCTTGGCCCTTAGCGCAGTTGGGGCTGAGAGAGGTTGGTCAGGTTGCGCATTGAACAAGGCAGGTGCCTAGGGTGGTGATGTCGAAGCCTTCGAAGCAGCTCTTGGCGTGCTGGGGCCGCGCTCCCCCGGGAGGCTACGTCGAGGCAGCAGGCGCATCCAACACAGCTGCATCACGCGAGCAGCGCCTCCTGACGCGCGCACATGGCAAAAGGCTCTGACGTCTCGGCTTCGTACCTCTGCCACAATCTCTAGATGCCCATGTTTGACGAGGGGGCGCTGCCACAATAAGTGCCGGCGTTTTTAGTTCTTTGTTCACTTGCTTCTCTTCTCATCGCGCCGCCCTCAGACGTGGGAGCTGGCATGCTTGAGAGGCTTGGTGCGCTTGCAAAGTTGTCGAACTTGTGAGTCGCAACCTTCATAGCGTTTTCTTCCGATCCTCATGCTGATGTTTTCGGAATCTCGAGCGGGCTACAAGATGCAGGGCCTCCCGCACGGCTGAATGGCTCATTGGTGACGCGGCCTTGTGTGTTCCATCGCTTGTAGCACCTCATGGCCCGCGTGCGCGCGCGCGCGCGCGCGCGCCGCATGGACATCGACATGCAGCTGGAAATGGTTTTCGCTTGTGTGGAGCCGTGCAGAACTGTTAATACCATGTGTGGACGTCCCAAATCTATGCGGGTTCGTAGACACTTTAAGCAAGCAGGGGAGTGTGTCCAGCGAGGCTAGGACGCGGGATACCCAAGTTGGTCCCTCTGGCGCACCTGCTAAGTGTTGTGTGACGTAGCACATCGTCTTCACTGTGAAGCGCGTCCGGCTTTTTTCTCGCTGCTTGTCCCAGATGGAACAGAAGGCCATCTGTTGGTGTTCCTGGCGTCTTTGGAGCTGTTGCAGCTATGCCAGCCTGTTTCTTGTACACATATGTGCGCTCGTGGCAGGCCGCTGACTCGCTTGCACCAGGTTTCTTCCATATGAGTCTCATCGTCACCATGGCACCATATTTGCTAAGAAATCCTGTTTCGTAGATTTCGCAGCAGGTTCACCTGTTCACCGAAAAAATTGACATGTACTGTCGACCCCATAGCATCGCAAGCTCGTCGTCCAACTGCCGTGGAGGCGCCGGGCGGTTTTCCAACCTACAAGGCGGGTCTCGCAGTGCGCTTCCTTAAGGTCTAGAGTTGACCTGTTGACACCTGCGGTGACAGCAAAAGTGACAAAACAAACCGACTCAGACAAGTTTTACACTTTAAATATGCTTCAACTTACGCACGAATCCCAGTCAGAGATAGAGAATGGCCTCCACACTGCAGGTGCCATCGCCCGCACCCCCTCAAGTCTCTGCAGTTGCGCCTATGCGCGTTATGCAGGCTGTGGTGGGCTTTTCTGCTTGGTTGAGTAGCGGCTTTTGGGGAGTTCGCTCTAAGGTCTATAGGGCCTTAGAACTCTTGACTCGGGCAGATATCCGATCCTGACTGTCGGATGCACCCCCGCGTTTGCGCGACTGAGCGTCTCATGGTAGAAGTAGTTTTCGCAGCTTCGCTGATTCAACCTCAAGTTACTTGCAAGTCCTGAAGTTGAGAAAAAAGTAGAAGGTTGTCTTGCTCAGGTCACATTTCCTGTAGCCACCTGTTCCGGAGCCGAATCCGCATCAGAATAGCAACCGCAGCAGAACTCCACGCGCAGGCTGGTCCCCCTGGCGCTTACGTACCTGGTCAGGCAGCACGCTTCTTAGCAGATCCTGGAGGCTGCAAGGAGCCGACAAGAGACAGCTTATGGTTGCCCAGCAGTGGGGTTCAAGATTTCTGCGACTGGCAACGTCAGTTCTTGCGTCCTTCTACGTGTTCGCTATCTCGGCCATACCTTGCTGAAACCTTAAGTGAACAGCGACGATGTGGCAGGTCCGATCAGCCCCAGGACCAATGCCGGTGCAGATGGTACAGGCTTCCTTTAAAGGGTTTAGGGTTTCGAAGGTTTCAAAGTGGCACAAGCCTGCTTCTAGTGTCTCAGCGCTTCATCCATCCTAGAACAAACAAAGGTACTGTAGCTGCCCATGATGCTCATGCTGGGGGTGAACCCATCCGAAAAAGGAGAGCTCAGAGAAAAGCCGCCCTGACAGCTTGTTGGTGAAAGGGGAAGGTTTGGTTTGGCTTTAAGATGTTGCTTCCTTTTTGCCTGCTTTGAGTGAAACCTGGGCGTGTGCTGGCCGCTCCACGATAATAAGGTCGCATGTATGCTTTTCTTCTCCCCAAATAGGCAAGGGTTCCAAGCACCCCCAGACTAAGCGCCCTCAGCCCTCGAGAGGAGTCCACAAGCCCTCAACACGCATGAAAGGGTCACGGCTCAAGTAATTGCCTGCTGAGTCGAGAGGGCTCTACCCTCTTCTCTAGTCTCTAGGCTGAGGACTTCGGTTTTAAAGGCTGAGGGTTAGGGTGCTGTAACGTGCCGTGCCATTTGATGATAGATCATCAAGCTCTCGCAGCTTTCCCAAGAGGCCGGACCTACGGTACCCTTTGCGACATACAAGGCAGCCGCCTTCCTCTGCTTCGTTGGAGTGAGTCACTTGCGCTTGTACAGGGAGGTTCAGAGTTTTGCTTAAGGTAGTTAGGAGATCTGTTGAGGCGGGTTCCCCTTTCGTAGCAGCAGCACTGTTCTTGCACCCCGAGTGCATCACAAGCTCGTCCAACTGCAGTGGAGGCGGCCGGACCTGGCTTTCCTGCCTACAAGGCTGGTCTCACCGCCGGACACTGTCACTCGCTAGTGGAGCGCTTTCAACAATCAAATCCCTACATAGTGTTGACTTAGCTACTTGCGTTCTGGCTGCAGGTACCTTCAACAGGGCCGCCTCAGATGGCTTCTTTCGCGGCACCTGTGCGACTTATGCAGGCTGCTGTTTGCTCGACTGGGCGTCTCATGGTAAGCGCAGCATAGCGCAGTTTTCGGAACTTCGCTGGCTCAACCTCAATTCCTGAAGCGGAGAAAAAGAAGACAGTTTTCTTTCTCGGGTCACACTTCCTGTAGCCACCTGTCCCGGAGCCGAACTGCAACAAAACTCCGCGCACAGGCTGGCCCCCCTTCCGCCTACGTCCCTGGTCAGGCAGCACGCCTTTTAGCAGATTCAGTCACGCACGTGGAACTTTCCCCTGAGACGGATGCCTACATTCTGATTCTTCTACTTTCTATTGTAAACAAATCCTCAGCAGTAAGCCCGTCGGCACATGCTAGGGTTCGGAGCTGAGGGTCTGGGAATGTGTCGGCTTCATCTACTTCGTGTTCCTTGAGCCGCCATTTCATGAGTCTGAGCCTGGGATGAATACCCCAAGCAGCGAAGAACCTGGCAGGTCCGACCGGCACCGATGCCGGTGAAGACGGTGCAGGTTCGGCTGTCAGAGCTTGGCAAGGAAGTGGGAAGTCGCTGTGGGGTGGCGAGGAGACATTGTCATGAGTTTGAATGCCACCAAGGATGCCAACAGTGGTGATGGCATTCATTTGCATGATTCAGGGTGGGGCGGGTGATTTCAGCTCTCGACGCGTAATATCTGCAGCACAACAGGTGCGTGACCCTTCCTGGCAAGTATTCTGAGCACGCATCCATGCACACCAAATCTGTATTCTTTGCTGTAGATTGAAGCAAAACGCCGGTTAGTGCCGTCCCTGCAACTTCAAATGCGAAGATAGCAGAGTAGTGCAAACGACCCAAGCAGTCGGAACAAAGTGCGGCCATTGAACGTGATTCGTGAACATTCGTAAGTCTAGGAAGTTCGGCTGCATCCATGCGCGCCTTTTCTTGGTGTGGTGTGATTTTGGAACCTCCGGCTAGAACTGGTCAAAGAGTGTTGCTCATCCATGCCATCAGTTCACCCCGCAGATCAAGATGGACGGCCCAGCACCCAGCTCTAATGGTCAAGCCCTTGGGCATTAGGGTTTCTGGTTTATTTATGGTTTTGGGATTGCTCTTTAGGGTTCCCCCTTGGCGCAAGTGTGATCTGAGCTGGAGAGTGTTTTCAGTGTTTTCAGGTTCCTGCCTCCAGTCATGAGCGTCATGCAGGGCTTTCCCCCGCCACTCAGGGCTTCCAACGTCAAGTCCCAAGCCTCCGAAAGAAATGGGTCTCCATTCGGGAAATGCCCACGTAGGCGACCCGAAGCTAGTGTTCAGGGCCCAGCCCAGACAAAGACAACAGTACATAGGAGGTGCCTCAGCCCGCAAAAATCCCTCAAATCGGCTGAGAAATCGAAGCTGTTCCTAAACCCTCGACAGACCTAGCTTCAAGATAACTCCGTACTCCCCCAAAGCCTAAACCCGCCTCGAACAGCCTCAAACCCTAAACCCTAAACCCTAAACCCTAAACCCTAAACCCCAAAGACAAACCCCAAACCCTGAAGCTCCCCCCAAAGCCAGATCTGGACCTGGCCGCGGACGACCCGGACCTAGAGGAGCGAGAGGAGCGACCAGGGCCAAGGACTCGGAAAGGTTTGTGGTTCCAGGGTCTGAGGTTTTGGGTTTTGGGGGGTTACAATGGGGTTTACGGATACGGGTTTAGAGTTTGAGGAGGGTGTTAGGGTAGTTTAGGCAGGGTTCAGGGGCCTGAACCCAAACCCAGACCTTCCGAACCCCTGAAACTTCAGGGCCGGCCGCAGCCTTGGTTTGGGGAATGGGGCCGGGTGCGGCTCCTGAGTTTGAGACTACGAGCACCTCATGGGTCTCTGAGGCTCAGGGCTCAGGAGTTTGGGCGGTTGCTTTCCGTGCTTGGGTCTGGGGGATGTTGATCGGAGAGCAGATCCCCCCCCCCAACTCCTGATGATTTCTGTGCACAACTCGTGCTCCTTCCCAGGCCACATATGCAAGAGTCATGCTAGCTCACTTCCCTTGTTCCCAAGAGATCGATCAATTTCTGCCAAGCACAAAGAAATCTCCCGATTCGTGTCTGGCCATCATGAGGCTCATTGCTGTGAAGCCAACATTCATGATCGAGCTCCCCGGAGACCTGGCGCGAGTTGCGGATTTCAGGAATGAGGATAGGACAGGGACCTACGCTGTTCGGAAGATTGCGCCCCTAGTGCCCTTCCACTTGCAAAGGTTTGTCAGCCGAGCCCTAGCTGGAGTGTTGTGTTTTCTCTGCATTTTGTTGGGCTGACTGACGCTGCCGTCTCCTTCAGAATGATGGCAGTTTTCGGTTTCGGTTTATATGAAGCCTAGAATCTAGGGGGGAGTTGTGAAGCTCATGGCACTTTTGGCAAACGCCTAACAGGCCTAACACCCTCAACTCTCCACGCCATGGTTCTAAGGAGGGAAGAGGACAGCCGTGAAGTCCCCTGAGGTGGTAGCCCCACCCCAAATCCCGACCTCCGAAGCTGCCCAACGCACGCAGCTCACGTTCTCAGCTTGACAGTTAGATCATGGCTTGGGGCTTGAGGGTTTAGGGTATCAGGTTGTTTTGATTGTGTTCTCCCATGAGCAGCCATACTCATGTCAACTTACGAGGCCCTAGGTTCATCCGCTTGTTCTCCGTTCTTTGCTAGAAAACTTCAGCTTCTGGCTCAGAAGTCGAAGGCTGTTGAATCTGGCTGGGAGCTATCAATTTCACTTTTTGAGCCCCCAACGCAAAACCCAAACCCACCGAATCAAGGCCATCCCGAAGCCCTCACCTCACCAAGCCACCCTAACCCGAACCCTAAGCTCAGGAGAGAAGTCTCAAGGAATCACGACCAAGCCGCGAGAGGATTGGCACATTGATCCCTACGCCGGCAACTTGGGGCCAGGGCTTAGGAAAGTCCAAAGCCGAGACGCTAATGAACTGAGACAAAGTATGTGGAATGGAGGTACTTGTACGCAATGTCGCGTATGCAGTGTTCTGCATCATTGAGAACTGAAGAGCCCCCAATGTGCCCGACCCCAATCAACATCAGTAGCAAAAACACCTACCTCGACTCCCAAGGCCCTCCAGCCCCAAATCAAGACTCTAAAATTACATGCTCGCCAAAGACCTGGGATTCGGACCCCACAGCCTGCACAGCCTTGTGTCTGCTGCCAAGTTCTGGATCGATGGAGCCAAGTACGAGGTCACAGGCAAGGTCGGCAGCGGCTCCTTCGGAACCGTGTTTCAGGCCGCTGGGCACTGCCGAGACTTGCCTATGTGTTGATCTCAACTGCCTTTTTAAGGCTGTTTCTCTGTTGCGAGATAGTCCTTCGTGTACTTCAACGTACCCCCACAAGGGCCCGCCAGTTCTCCCAATTTCCCCTCATCTTGGAGTCCGGGTTCTTAGGCATCTTAGCAAGCCCGTGAAGCCAAAGTTTTTGGCCCTGAGAATAAAAGGCGGTCGAGCTCGAAGACTACGTGCGCAATACACGCAAGCCGCGGGGAGCTCGGGCATTTTTCATGTCAGGTTTTTCCGGCTGGGGGCTTCTTAGCTGCTTTATGCGGATATGTCCCAAAATCGTATTTCCCCTCCCCCCCCCCCCCTCCCCCTTTGCTGCGCTGTGCTCCCCATGGGCGCCCACAGCAGCCCTCCATGGTTTTTTTTTTTTGGATCTCGGGCCTCCGAGATTTAGGAGTTGGGTGCTTTCGGGGCCCCAAAGTTTGGCGCGCCTGGGGTGCACAGTGAAGCTGCCGGCCTAGGGCGCCAGGCAGTTCGCACGTCGGAGGAGGGCTGCTTAACAGCCCAGTCTCTTGACCCGAGGCTAAGGCAACCCTGGAGATTGATGATGATGATAATGATGATGATGATGACGGTGGTGATTTTGCTTCTCCAGATTCTAATGACTATTATGCTTATCTGGATTTGTTCGATTACTCTGTGTGTTTCGATGTTTATTACTTGTTCTGTTAGCTTTGGCGGCGATGATTCGCATCATTCATAAGAGTACTATGACTACTGTGTTCTTACCTACTCCTGTCCTACCTCGCAGATGCGGAGTCCACACTTCCAGGCTTGGAGGGTTAAGAGCCATACAGGCCCACCCAAGGGCATGAGGACACTTCTCGGCACACTTCTGACCGTCATCCGACCCCTATTTTGAAGCAGAGCGTCGGTCCAAAAAATCGGTGCCATCCCGAACCCCTTTCGACCCAAAGCCCAAAACCCTCCAAGGAACTTCACCCCTGTCGCCGTGAAGCGCAGCTCTCCTGCGAAGCAAGACGCAGCCTGAGATAAGAAGCGTTTTGTGGCTTAGGGTTGGGCTTTTCAAATGCGAGCCGCCTGCCACGCCTGACGGAGAATAAGGATGATTTGTGAACCCCCAGGTCCAGAGCATGAGGCCCTCGAGTTGTTTGCAGCCCCCACTTTCTCAACAGGACGTAGCTGGGGATATTTCTTTGCGGTCCAAGCCCTGAACCATATGCACCCTGAACCCTAAACCCTGTTCCTTTGCGGAACTTCTGGCAGAAGTACCGGAAAGGGCCTGTGCGATCTCACTGCGTTCTGAAGACCGTGCACCACTATGAAGAAACCATCTGCGAGTGAAAGGCTGCAGAGCTTTCCAGAACCAATCGAAGGGGAACGCACTTTGCCCAACACATGAACCGATGCAGCAAGCCTCTTCACCCTGAAGCCCTGCTATATATATTTATATATATATATATCCATTATCTTTATATATATATATATATCTATATTCTCTATATATATTTTTTTATGTAGATTTAGTACATACATACATATAGATGCTACCCCCCCCTCCCGGGACCTACCTTTTCGAGTGTTGTTGGTTAATTTTTCTGAAGTTCTAATCCATCAAGTTGAATTACAAACGAAGTTCGGATGAGAATGTCTCAGGGTGTGGCCTTAGAACTTAAAATTCCAAATAAATTTCTATGCGAATAGGGGGACAGAGGAGGATGTGATACCGTGTGGTCTTTAATATACGGTTAACTAAGTTAACTAGATGTATTTCCCATACCAAGGATGTCTTGGGCTGTGGCCAGTTAATGTACTTGTTAAAATTCGGTTTACTCACAAACAGAGCCCAGACGATAATTTCCTAGTGCGTGGCCTTCTTTTCTCAGCTCATTTTTTCAATAACTTACGAAGCAAGCCCAGATGAGGGGGTTTCAGGCTGTGACCTCTGAATATAGGATCTAATGACATCTTGTTTTGTCAGGCCCCGTAAGAGGATTGCAGAAGGTGTGCAATTTAAATTTAAACATCGAAGCCAACCCGCATGCGAACGAGGCCCAGAGGAGGATTGGACAGGGTAGTCTTAGAATTTGTTTTTTTCTATTAATATTACGAACGAGGCCAGAAGACTTCTCAGAGGAAGTTCACTTAAGGTGTAGGCTGTTATTAGCAATTTGGTTTAAATATGAATTTGAAGCCCAACAGGTTCTTATCAGACGTTAAGCTGAACGACTTCCAAATGACAACGTTTTAGGGTATGACCCTTTAATGTGAAATTCAAATAGTACGGACTTGATACCCGGTTGCTTTGGACTGTGGGAAACATTAAGGGTGGTGAGCGGGATAGGATAATTGCTCACAGTATTCTCACGTCCCCCACACTTACTGTAAATGACTTTTCGCATCACCCTATGCACTCGAATACTTCCTAGTCTTTTGATTCTAGACTTGCCATCTTTCCTTCTCCATCATCTGTATTTGATTTACAAGACATATACCCCGTGTACATACATGATCTGAGTACGTATACTGTGTTCTCTCTGCATTTCCACAGGAGGCAAGCCCTACGAACATAGGCATAACCCTATGTGATTTAAGGTTTAGGGGTTTATGCCCCAAGCCCTGGAGGTTCGTAAGGTTCTGATTCTACAGGCAATGCTTGAACCTTAAACCCTAGACTTTTTACCCTGTAGGATGTACCCCCTAGAGGGCTAACCCCGTGAGGGTTTTAGAGATACACCCTGAAAAGCCTTAAACCTTTAGCCCAGCCCTATAGGGCTAAATGGTTCAAACAACCTAAGGCCTGGGCAAATATACCATCAGCGCCTATAGGCTTAACACCGTTGAACCTTTTCGCGTCCTACAAGGTTTTCGGGCTCTGAACCTAAAGAGTTTAGGGTCAACGTGTAAATGCCTAAGCCTTAAACACGTGGGTTTAAACTCTACCTCTAAACCTTAACCCCCTTAACCCCAGGGCTTTAAGGCCAAGGGTGTAGGTTTACTTGCCGGCTTAGTTTTACATGCCTAAACCTTAAACCTTAAACCTTTAGATCTTCACTATGGGGTTTAAAGGGTTACGATTAAGGATTAAGTCTAATTGCTTAACCTTCAAACCCTATGTATGATTAAAAGGTTTAGGGTTTAAGGTTTGAGCCTAAACCCTATAGGCTTTAAGGCTAAGGGGTTAAATCCTATAGGGATTAGGGCAATTATCAGCCTTGAACAAGCCCTTAACAAACGACCAAAGAGCGCAGCGGAGCGGAGCGGACAGGAGAGGGAGGGAGGGGGAGTTTTGCTGTCTTGGTTGAAAGATTGAAGGTTACGACCTGAGTGCAGGTATCGAGTTGCTATACAATTGAAATGTTGAGGATTATGGCGCCCAGAGCCTCTCTCCTTAGACGAATTGCCCCCCAGGGGATACTTTAAAGTACATTAAAGTGGCCCTGGATCCAAGATCCAAGATCCAAGATGCCAAAAAAAACTTTTCGGGGAATCTTGGATCTTGGATCTTGGATCCAGGGCCGCTTTAAAGTACTTTAAAGTGGCCCCCGGGGGCCCCGGGAGACAAAGTACAGGGACACCGTTTGTACTTAGACGATTTGGGCCCCCAGAGGGCACTTTAAAGTACTTTAAAGTGCCCCCCGGGGGCCCCGAGAGACAAAGTACAGGGGCACCATTTAGACGATTTGGGCCCCCAGGGGCCACTTTAAAGTACTTTAAAGTGGTCCTGGATCCAAGATCCAAGATCCAAGATTCTAAAAAAACTTTTTGGGGAATCTTGGATCTTGGATCTTGGATCCAGGGCCACTTTAATGTACTTTAAAGTATCCCCTGGGGCCCCGGGAGACAAAGTACAGGGGCACCCTTTGTACTTAGACGATTTGGGCCCCCAGAGGGCACTTTAAAGTACTTTAAAGTGCCCCCCGGGGGCCCCGAGAGACAAAGTACAGGGGCACCATTTAGACGATTTGGGCCCCCAGGGGCCACTTTAAAGTACTTTAAAGTGGTCCTGGATCCAAGATCCAAGATCCAAGATTCTAAAAAAACTTTTTGGGGAATCTTGGATCTTGGATCTTGGATCCAGGGCCACTTTAAAGTACTTTAAAGTGGCCCCCGGGGGCCCGGGAGACAAAGTACAGGGGCACCCTTTGTACTTAGAAAATTTCGGATCCAAGGGGCATTTGAAATTGCCCCCTCCAGGAGCCTCATTAATATTTTATTATATTTTTTTATCTCTCCCAAACCCCACGAGACCAACCTGAGCAATACAAGCTTTAAAAAAGGTAGGTCCCGGGAGGGGGGGGTACCATATAGATATATGTATATATATATATATACACATACATAACAAGCTTAAGACACCACGCCACCCCGAGGAACTGCTGGAGGCTGCTGTGCTGGAAGCAGAGGTGGCCACAGACGCAAGTTGGGTTTAGGGTTCAGGGTTCAGGGTTCAGGGTTCAGGGTTTAGGGTTTAGGGTTTAGGGACCCCAGACCCTGAACCATTGCTCTTTATTTACCAGTCGAACGTTTTACTATGACAAATGGTTACTAGGATTGCGATATGTTTTTTTTACCATTATTGTTACTATTGCTATTTACCAAGCGTTCCTATCACACCCCAAATCCTCAGCTTCTGAAGCTTAGGTGCAGGCGCCTGTCATTCGACGTGCTCAGCGCTGAAAGAACTAGGTTTCGGGTTCGGTCCCGCAACGCAGCCCGTGGAGTCGACCAATGGACCCCAAAACCAAAAACCTCCGAAGCACCTCGAAGTCCAAAAGCCCAGAAAAGCCCTACTACAACAAAAAGGGCCCTAAGACCGTCAAGGCAACATACTGCACAGCCCTCTCCCCCCAACCCCCTCTCAGACCCTTTCCGCACTTCGCAGATTTTGAAAAAGCTGGAAGCCGTGCCTGGCGAGAACTTCGTCCCCAGGCTTCGGGCCTGGGCTGTGAGGGTCTTGCCACTTGGGGTTGCGAACGAATATGGGCATTCTACGCCGGTTTCATGAGAATGGGCAGGTTAAGGGTCATTTCCACTAGAAGTATTTAGGGAGCATTGGTAATTTAGGCTCCGCATTTGACGTGCGGCTAGGTGTGAGAGCATTGAGCAAAAGCTTGCAACTTCCGCAAGGTACGTGCGGCACGGAACAATCCCGCCGCCGGATGAGAAGAAAGTGGCGGAGGACGTCTCAGGGAGGGTCATGCCCAAAGACTTGCAAAGACCGTCCCAAGCACTCTTTGAAGTTTGGGAGCAGGGACGTGTGCAGGCAGAATAGGACCATGGTGGCCCCATGGCTCTAGCATTCTTTGCGGCTGGGATGGCAGCTGAACTTTGCACCGAGATGGAGCGTTTTATTGCCAGCGCTCCTCGCAAGCCGGAACTCAACCAACTCTTGGGAAGCATCCACAAGCCCGTCAAAGCCCCCCCCCCCTGGTATATATGTATATATATATATATATATATATGGTACCCCCCCCCCCCCCCCCCGTGACCTACCCTTTTTCGCCTTGTCTCAAGTCACCCAGCTGCACTGCAAGCAAAGTCAGTGTGCAACATAGCGTGTTTCCTAAGGCGTAGACGAAAATACAACTAAAATCGCATACACGGGACAGTAGAAAAAACCAAAAACACCAAAACCAAAAAAACCAAAAAAAACAAAGCCAAAAAAAAACAAGAAAAACAAAACCAAAAAAAACAAAAAAACCAAAACAAAAACAATTTTCCGGAACTCTCAGGAATCCCTATGAGGCTTCTCCAAGAGTCCCGGAAAATTGTTTTTTTTGGTTCTTTTGGTTTTTTCGGTTTTGTTTTTTTTGTTTTTTTTGGTTTTTTTGGTTTTGGTGTTTTTGTTTTTTTTTGGTTTTGGTTTTGGTATTTTGGCTTTTTGGTTCGCCTTCACGGTCACGAAACAACAACTACGCATTTTTAAGTGTGCTTATGCTAATTGTGCTTTTCAGAAATAGTATACAAGTGGTCTTTCTAGTGCTTCAGAACTACTTGTTTCGTTATTATGTAAGTAGAACCGCTTCGCTTCTTTTTCAACTAGTGTTTGGTGCATCTTTTGGTTGTACTCAAGTGTAGTAGACCTTATTCAGCCATTACTTGGTGCTCTGGTAGCTAAATTCGCATGGATACTAGTTGCCTGGTAAAAGCGATTAATTATCCAGAAGCAGCATTTGCAATACTTGTCTTGAGAAAAAGCATTTATTGCTTAAAATTGTTTGCTTAAAAAGTACCTCCTACTCGTCCAGGGATACCCCAAAACCCTATAATCCAAACTTCACCAGAGATTCTCCTGACTAGCTTGCGCTTTTGGATGTTTTTTTGTATGTGTGAATTTGCTTGTGTATGGCCTTCACTAAGTACTTTTCTAGGATTCTTGTGCATTCTTTAGGCCTGGTTGTGCAAGTTGTGTTTTTCAAACATAGTATATAAGTGGTCTTTCTTAAATACTTCAGACATCTTTGTTTCATCGGTATGTAAGTAGAACCGCTTCTATTTCCATTGTTGTGCATTTTTAAGCTTGCTTATGCAAATTGTGCTTTTCAGACATAGTATATAAGTGGTCTTTATTGAATACTTCAGCAATCTTTGTTTCATTGTTATGTAGGTAGAACCGCTTCGATTTCCGTTAATGTGTATTTCGTATTTGGTTGAGCATGGTCCTTTAAATAGTATTCACTTGGGTCAAATTGGGCTATTTGCTTAAGAATTACTCTAGTAGTTAAATTCGCATAGAATGAATATTTCAAAAAAATTGTTTCACGAATATGTAACATAAGGTAGTTCAGTGGACTTTGCAGATAGTATTTCAATAATACTCTGCCTGGTATAAGCACAACTGTTTCAATGCATTAGTTGCCCAACAAAGCACTATTTGCCCTTTAAACCACACTTTGCCATATTTTGGTTGAATATGATGCTTATTTCGTATTTTGGTTGAGTATGGTCCTTTAAATGGTATTCACTTGAGTCAAATTGGGCTATTTGCTTAATAATTACTCTAGTAGCTAAATTCGCATAGAAAGATTATTTCAAAGGTAAACAATTTCATGAATATGTCAACATAAGGTATTTCAGTGGACTTTTCAGATAGTATTTGATTCATACTTTGCCTAATACAAACACAATTGTATAAATACGGTAGTTGCTCAACAAAGCATTATTTGCCCTTCAAACGCACACTTTGCCATATTTTGGTTGAGAATGGTGTCTATTTCGTATCTTGGTTGAGTATGCTCCCTTAAATAGTATTCACTTGAGTCAAATTGGGCTCTTTGCTGAATAAATACTCTAGTAGTTAAATTCGCATAGAATGAAGAAAACTGTTTCACTATTTGATTAATGCTTTGCCTCGTGCAAACACAACTGTATAAATAAATTGGTTGCTCAACAAAACATTAATTGCCCTTTAAACGCACAATTTGCATAGAAAAAACACAGATCTAGACATCTGCAAACAGCATTGTCCGCTTCAGATTCAAAATGTAGATTAATCCAATGCCGGCTTATCGGGGTCTGTGAGGTGGGTGTCCCAGTAACTGTCCTTCATTACCCGGTGATTAACTACGCGGCTTTGGGCCTTCGTTGTTGTTTTTTGTTAAAACGGCCTAAAAAGGCCTAAAAAGGGTAGGTCGCTTTGGGGGGGTAGCGTATATATATGTATATATATATATATGTATATTTATAGTGACAGTTATACTGTTTGTGTTTTCGTGTTTTTATTTATGTATATTATGTATTTATGTACATTGTATATTTCCCATGTTAGTTACAGTTGTATTTGGCAGGCGTTGACAAGCTGGCCTTGCGGGGCAACCCTAAATGGAGTCCCAAGCCGAAGTTCCGTTTCGACAGCGCGCAGGTTGTGCTGGCAATGACAAAGTTGCCAGGGAAGCCCTTAGATTTTTGGCGCGGGGCCTAGGTCTCACCGCGGTGTGCTTTTTGGGTTTAGGGTTTAGGGTTTAGGGTGCTCAGGGTGCTCAGGGTGCTCAGGGTGCTCAGGGTGCTCAGGGTGCGCGAGCTCCCGCTTGAGGCTTCCGGGGTTTGGGGCGAGTTGCTTGGAGGAGCCATGCAGGCCCATAGTGAGGCTTTCCTGTACAAGTATCTCCAAGTATCTCAACGGAATCCCCAACGTGCCCGGCTGTTCCAAAGAGACAGCACGTCCCTTCGATCTTATGTGTGCTATTCTGGAGCCTTCTCGCTGGCTTTGGGGCATGCGTGCCTCGTGTACGATGCCCCTGTGATAAGTGGGAGCCTTCATGAGGCTTGTTGTAAATTCTCCTGAAAACTTGAGCCCCCGCAAGTAGGATAATCTCGGGGAAGGACCCGCAGGTCGTCAAGTGAGTATGAGTCTATGAGGAATCTGAGTTCTGAATTCTGAGTTCTGAGGGAGTCATTGCCCAAGAGGCCCCCAGGCTGCACAGGATCCTGAGACGCGATGCATGATAATTAGCATGCAGCAGTGCCCACGAATCAAGGGGCAGCCACATGGTCCTTGAACATGATCACTTCCTTTTTGTAAGGGGGTTTAAGGTTTAGGGTTTAGGGTTTGGGGTTTAGGGTTTGGGGTTTAGGGTTTAGGGTTTAGGGTTCTGAAGTACACAAGTGAGTCGATCTTGGCTTCAGGATGTATGGTATTGACGAGCAGGCCTTGAAAACCGTCAGCCGGGGCCCGAACATTTGAGACCCAGTTGTAATATGTGGTATACGTAGCACTATATATGTATATATATATATATATATATGTGCAGTCATGTATATATATATATATATGTATATGCAACATACATGTGTACATATATATATATATATATGCATCCACGACCAGCCGCTTGGCAGACAAAAATGAACCCTCAAAGACCAGCCCCCCCCCCCCCCCCCAGGCATCCCAAAGATGCTGGATGGGGACTTGCCCGGCGCCTGCCGATCCAGGACTGACTCGTCGGGCTTTCCACGCAAAAGGTTGTTGGAGACCCTAAACCCTTAACCCTACATCAGCCCGAAACCTTAAATCCTGAGCAAGCTCCAAAGGAATGTCAGGCCTAAGGCATGTGAGCGGCACGTCGTCGAGAGCCCCAAGCCTACGAACTTGTAAGGCTTAGGGCTTGTAAGGTATTAGGGGATTCTTGCGTACTCTGCAGACACCGTAGGAATTTGGGGTTTTGGGGTAGGGCCTCCGTTTGAATTGAAGGCGTCTCGAGCACGCCGCCGATATGGTAATTGCCCCGGCCTCAGCTGCATCGTCCAGAGTCTGTGCCCTCAACCCCAAACCCCAAACCCCAAACCCTAAACCTTAAACCCACCCCGCAAGCCCCTGCATGCAACCGGGTTGAAGGTGGTCGGGAGGTTAGGGGGGAGAAAGGCCTGAACTTCCTGTGCTCAGGAGATTCTGAGAACGATGTGTCCCATTTTTTCCGCGCTTCGCAAGTTCGTCGGCCCGACTTGTCATTTTACACATGTATTGTATGTTGTATATTTCATTGTATATGTTATATATATATTGTTTGAGGTTGTATATATCAGAGTGTATATTATGTACTATATAACATATATATATATATGTATATATATATATATACATATATATATATATATTCATTTTTTGCTTTACTTATATATGATACAATTTATGTGCACCAGGTATTTATTCAGTTTGATTAGTACTACTAGTATGATATATATATATATATATATATATATATATAGTGTGTGACGCATATGTATATGTATATGTATATGTATATGTATATGTATATGTATATGTATATGTATATGTATATGTATATGTATATGTATATGTATAAATATATATACATACATATACATATACATATACATACACATATTGTGAAGTCGACCAGCACTGGACTTGCACTAAGCCAATGCAATCACAGCCCGGTCACGCTGTTTTACGACTTCGCGAGTTCAAGCACTTGTGCAGCTACGCCTGAGTGCGTCCGGTCGGACCGCACAGCAACCTAAGAGCTACTGTACGAAACTACCGTGCTCAAAGGCACAAGCTCGGTACTTGAGCCAAAATATTGGCATCGTTACGAATTGCAAAACTACACATGCAAGGGAAAACTACAAGCTGCACTAGCACCAAGCAAGCACTCCATGCATGCTTTGACCTACTCACATTCGCCCCTCAGCCGAGGCTTCCGGCTCACCAAGAGCTCATAGTGCGTCAAGCACTTCAGCAACGCGCCAAATGGGGTAGGGCGAGGATGTCGCGTGCGACTCTGGTAGAGCCCGCACATCATGAGCATTGGCATGCGGCTTGGGCGGCAGCCCGCACTACCAAACGGACGCACGACGACAGCAGCCCTCAACGACCCTAAACCACCCCAAGTCGCGAGCGCTCACCTTTATGCAGGCAGGCGAGGCTCCAGAGTACTGGGCAGGTCTTTATGCTGCTAGTGCAAAGCTATGGTACAAATGGTACACTGTACACACTACCGGCCCTAAGCTACGGCTACGGCTACTCACCTATCCAGAACTACCCTACGGGCTACCGGACTCAGCGAGAGCCGCGCACATTGCTTGTGCCGCAGGCAGTGCAGCTCGCACGCGCTTCGGCGAGCGCACTGCCGCGACCAGGACACGGTCCGCAGCAGCCGCAACGGGCTGGGAAGAAAAGTGCGGGTAGGCAAAATGGGCAGGGAAAACCCCTGCCGCGGCTCTTCGCCCGCAAGCAAAACACAACCAAAAGAGGCTCGACAGCGTGCCGCGCTGTGATGCCTGAGAAATCGCGTGGACACCCCTTCCACGCCGCGCCGACTGGCCGCAGCCTACTCGATACCCTGTGGAGCAGTGTTGGGGGCACGAGCGGTGTTGCCAGCAACGTTGGAGCTACTGGCTCGCTCCAACTGAGGGCGCTTTGCGGCCGCCTCATCGAGGGAGAATGCCTCAGCCGACACCCTCTGGAAATCCTCGATGTAGGACTGCACGACTGAGTGCGTCTTGGGGACCTCAAGCTTAAGCCCTGCCTCCGCATTGGCCTTGCTGCTTGTGGTAAAATTGAGGCTCCCAATCAGCACCACCGCGCCATCCGGCCGCAGTAGGCAAAGGGCTTTGGCATGGTGCAGCCCTTGGATCCCGGTGCCTACCTTAGCCCCGCGGCCGTCGCGAGCATAGGCGTCGCGCACGGATGTGCCACAACCCACCTTCACCTCGGCACCTGCGGCCGCCAAGCGTTTCAACGCTTGCCACTGAAGCTTGGTGCGGTGGCATTGTCCCATGTCGGCGACAATCCGAACGCTTGCGCCCTTGCCAAGCGACGCTTCGATTGCCTCGATGCAGGATGGGCAATCTAAGCTGTAAGCCCGGATGTAGATCACATCCTCTGCTGCTCCAGACCCAAGCAGCGTTTGGGCGGCCTGAACGTATGGCCCGCCCGCAAGGAATTCCGCTTCTTTGACTGGAGAACTCCTAGCGGGGGCTGGGCCCTTGTTCCTCCGGCCTGGCGTGCGCGCCACAATGGCAGTGGCGGCACGTTGCACGGAGCCGGACTGTGCGTGGGCCGCGCTCGCTCCATCTGCTGGGGCCGCGGCCAGGTCACGACCCGCGAGCCCCTGAAAGCAGGAGAGCCCGCGGCTCTTGGCCGCCAGTTGGGAGAAACATCCTTCACTGTTTCCCAAACCCAACACAACCTTACCCTTAGCCAGGGTCTCGGAGGCGGTACTCCGAATGGAGTCTGTGAGCGCAGGACCCGCGCCTCGCTGGGCCGCGTGCAAAAACCCTAAGGAACGAGCGGTGTCCATTGCGGCATCGCAATGCCCGCAGCGTCCTTCTGCCAGGTAAGCACGACAGCCACAGGCAGCTGTCTCCTCCTTGAGGTGCACCCAAACCTTATGGGTCACCTCTTTCTTGGAGCTCGCGACCTCAAACGTCGCTTCGGAGCCAAGGAGCTGAGACAGCCGCGCCTCAGGGGCCGCGGTGTTGCCATGTCGCATATGCGCAATGCGATTGGCAACGGCACGACTCACGTACCACAGAACAGCACCGCACAAGATCACTACTACCAGAGTGATGGCTGTTCCGGCGACCCACACGGTCCGCCTGGCCCCATGGCCGATTTCCTCGACAACGTCGGCCGAAACCGTTGCAACCGCGTGCATGGAGTCCTCGACAACATGCACAACCCCGCGGTGCAACTGCAAGGCAATCGGCGCCGACGCTGCAGCCGCCAGGCCCCACCAGCCGTTGATGTTCCCGTTGAGGGCGTGCATCAACCGATTGAGGAGCCCGCGACCCAGGAAAAAGGGGGTCCGCGGCGGAAGCGGAACACTTGGCGGCGGCCGGGCCGACCCGCGCGGGAAAGCTGGGACCCAGCTTGTGCTTGGGCGGGGTTGGAGCGCGGCAACAATGCCCGCGGCGAAAGCGCCCCAGGCGTACTTGCCCCTCCCCTTGGGCTTGCCCTTGGCATCGGACTTGCCTCTGCCTTTCGGCTTGCCCTGGCCCTTGCCACGGGCGTCTGCCCAAGCACTCCAAGGGTCGCGGCCCTTCCCGTACGTCGCCTCTTCGCGACGTCTCTTGCCGCCCCTCTTCTTGTGTTTACTTCTAAGAAGAGGCTGGATGGTTTCTTGGTCCATCGCGCGATTGGCCAGAAGGATCTCGTACTCCAGCTCGTCCTGGCTGCTCTCGGAGCCCGAGTCCCTCTCTTCGCCGCGCCGCGGATCAGGGATCCCGCGGGAAACGACCTCTGCCAAGCGGAGAGGCGTGCTGCACCGAAAGCACAGCTGCCTGAATGAAAGGTTCCATTCATAGCAGTTAGGGCACTGCCACCCTGCTATGCGGAGCGCCTCGCTGATGTGATCATCGCGCTCCGCCTTCTCCGCCTGGCGCCGCTCCCGCTTCTTGGCGCGCTCGGCCGCCTGCGCCTCCTCGGCCGCCTGGAGGGCTTCAGCGAGTTCCTCATCGCTGAGGAGCCTCGCGGCATCTGCCCGCGCTTGTTGTTCTTCAAGCTCTTCGGCAGAAAACCTCCGCCGCCATTGCTCCGGCGCGGTTTGAGGATCCACCTCCCACCACCCGATGTCGATCCCATTGATCCATCGGCCGTCGCACGGGGCGCCCGCGTTCGGGCCGCCCGCGTGCGTGGTGAGGCACTGGTCCTCGGTAACCGGGTTGATGGCTTCGCAGAAGAAGCACCGCCAGCTGCCGTAGGGGTAAAAGCGGCCTTCGACGTAGGCTCGGTTGGCTGGGAGGGCGACCTCGTCCGCATCATCCGCGGTGGCTGCCTCCATCTCAACCGAAACCTCCTCGTCCTTGACGACCTCAGCCTCCTCCTCCTCCTGTTCCTCCTTGACCAGGGGCTCTTCCTCCTCCCGGCCAACTTTGAGGTGGGACTCAGTGCGAACCTCGGCGCGCATCAAAATGACGTCAAGACTATCCGCGGCTGGGTCGCCCGCGAAGAAGGAGTCGATCTCCTTGGCATGGAGATCGTCAAGAGGCGTCACCAGGTCCGGCGAGTAATCTCGCTTGGAGCGACGCTCGGCCAGGCGTCGCTGGACGTCGCCCTTCGGCGGCTCGAGGGCCCGCCCGCGCGGAGCGGCCTCCCGCGGAGGTCTCGGCTCGGCCTCCTCTTTGGGCTCGCTCTTGGGCGTGGACCCTCCACTGCTGCTCCCTGGAGGGGGGTCCAGCTCGGGGTCATCGCGAAGCCACCCCGGCGGATGGCTACCACCATAAATGTGGTGCGATCCATCCTCAAGCTGGATTCGGTCCCCTCGCTTCAGGAGCGGGACCCTCGAGTGATCGTACCCGTTGGCTTTGTGGTACCTAATCACTCGGAGCATGGGCACCTCCCCATACCCACCGTCCTTTCCTAGGCGGAACAGCGGTCCCCGCCAGTCCTGACGAAAAGGGTCAAGAGGTGCGGAGGGGCTGATCCCCAGGTTGGGCGGAAGAGAGGCGCCATGGCAGGCCGCCTGATGCAAGTGGTACTGCACCAGCGACTCAAAGGCCAGCCCGCATCCCGGAGCCGAACATCCGTAGTGGCCGTCAGCGTTGGGGCGAGGCTCCTCTGGGGCCGGGGCGGACTGGGCGGTCCCGCCTCCTGCAGGCCTGGCGGAACTGCTCGACCCCGCAACCCCGGGGGCGTCCTGACCATCGTCAGACACCTCTTCCCCGTCGGCGCCTTCCCCGGCCGCCCGACTCTCTCCCTCTCGGCGCAGTGTTTTGAGGGACTCCTCACGCTTGGTGATCTTCTCCAGCTTCACCATCGCAGTTCCCGCAACCTCCAGTATTTTCGACTGGAGCTTCTGCGCTCTCAGAAGAGCTTCGGACCGCGCGAGGTACTCCTTCGCGCTGGTGACCACCGACTGGCCGAGCACGAGGACTCCTTCCTCTATGCTCTCGGCCTGGGCCCCACTAGCGGGCTCCTCGTCCTCCTTCACCTTGACCGCGGCTGGAGGCGCCCGCGTGTCGGGAAGA